ACATACACACATATATATAATATCTCCATCCTATATTTTCTTCCTATCAAAACAGAAGATGCAAAATCCATCTCTTCACATTATAATGACAAGCTTGTTTTTAATAAATGCAAATACACTTTACATGTGAAGGTTATAGAAAAAGTTGATTGATATAATATCAATTAAGTTATATCAACAATAACCATGCAGTTTTAAAATACGATAACACAAGGCTTCTTATGAAACAAAAGCCATGCAAATAGTATCAACGGTCTAGAATCATTTTTTTTAAAAAAATGGTTAATTGTGATAATTATTGTTAAAGATCATTCTTTGAGGTTTGCAAAATAACCCCTGAATTACAGCTTAGATGGAATAACTGGATGTGATTTATATGCAGTAATAAAAATGATATTGTCTGACTATCACTTGCAATTTCCCTTTTGGAATATGAGAATAATTACATATATCCAAAAATACACTTTAAAAGATGGTAAAATCTCACCAGCCACAGCTCTGACAGTAAAAAGTATTGTGTTACTGATTTTTAGCACAATCTCAGACTCTTAACACCTCTTAACCTGGAAGTCAATCAATGAAGTTCTAATATGAATGCACTTGCATTTTGTAGTTGGCACCTCTATCATATCACCAAGCTGATGAACTCTGTGTTTCACATTTGCTTGGAACTTCTTCACAACCCATTATTACAGCAAGGTTCTGGTATGGGTTTATATCTGGCTACTTTAACTTCGTCCTTCCATTCTTGTTTTTCTTCGTTCACTTCATGAATCAAATAACGCAATGGGCACTCTCTTCTCCTCTTCAATGGCCTAGTACTGGTTGAGGAGATGGCCCTGGTAGTTTTTGTCTGCCCTCTTGAGCACAGCATTTACAGCTCCCAAAGCTCTAGACGTGTGGCCCATCCAATTCCATGGACGGTAGTACAGTCTTTCCAGTTTGTGAAATTGCTGGTCTCCAGCTTTCTAATGCAGCATACTTTTAGATAAGAAGAGTATCAAGCAGAAGTCAGAAAGCACAACTAAGCATTGATGTGTGCCTTAATCCTCACTTGCCCTGGGCATCTTATGAAGCAACCTGTTCTTCATAGCTGTCACTAATCAATTATTGGGCATAGTGCAATAATCATGTGAACATAGTACCAACTCATCAGCTTAGCCACTGATAAGCCGCCCATCTGAACACTCCTATCACCTAAAATGTTTCTGCAATGTAACTTTGCAATAATCCTCTTCTCCTCCTCCTTTTCTCTAACTTTTCCCTGCCCATTTTGCCGAGCTACAACTATTCTGGGAATTACTATGATTAATCAGGTAATTGCTGTTTATTTTATCTGTAACATCTTCTATGGAGATGGTTTCACTTCTTGTGTAGTACTGTTGACTTTGCACCATTAATACATTATAATAGTTTATAGCAACTTCCACATTTCTAAAAACTAGTTTATGAAGATTTGAATTTAGTTACTTAGAAACTGGATTGAAACCTGTTAATATCTTTCAAATATATTATTGTTGATTGCACAGTCAGCCAGATGCTTAGACTGGATTTGACATTTTTATCACCTATCAAATCCTTCCCAGGGCCCTGAGATAGGCAGTTGTTGTTTGATGGTGTTAAAGGTATTGTCATAGGATGTAAGCTGCTCCAAGTAAATGTGCTTTTTGCAATTGACTGATGGTGATTTTGGCCATGCTGATAATCTTCAAGTGGTACTCCAGATGTTTTGGGATTGCACCCAAGGAGCCTATTGCTATTGATACTATCTTTGCTTCCTTTTGCCACAGTCATTCTATTTCTATTTGCAGGTCTTTTTATTTTGTGATTTTTTTTTTCAGTTCTTTCTTTTCTATTCTGCTGTCTCCAGATATTGCAATGTCTACTTCCAGACTTTTTTGTGTTTCTTATCAATAATTGTTAAGTCTGGCAGGTGCTTGTCTGTTTAAATTCTAAAGTCCCAGAGTACTTTAGCTTCTTCATTTTCTATTCCTTTGTCTGTTTTGTGCTCCCAACTGTTCTTGCTTCCAGGCAAATGGTATTTCTGGCAGATATGCCAATGCACCATTGTTGCTACTTTGTCATGCCGTTGTTTGTAGCAATTCTGTGTGATCTTCTTGCAGCAGATAACTAGGTGGTCCACTGTTTCTTCACCTTCTTTGCAGAGGCGGCATTTGCTGTCTGTTGCTGTCTTCTCAAAATATATAAAATACATTATTATTCTTATTCTAAATTATGCATGTTCAGTGTTCATTGGCATGGGTCACCAATGGTAAATATTGACTCCCTGCTTTAAAATCAAATATTCACATGCATGGAAGGTCAGATTGCCCATTTTGTTTCCTTTCTATTTGGACACAAATAGAAATATCATCCATGTAGAAATCATTAGCAAGCTTTGATCAATATTCCAATGTGGCAGTCTATGCTTTTACTTTTGTGCTTTTGGTTTTCCATCTGTTGTTTGTCATATTATGTGAATAATTACTATCTCATGGCATTAATAATGACAAAGGTTCAGACCTTCCAATTAACCACAGGAGAAATATCTTCAAACTGTAATTTTCTTTGCAATAGTCTCTCTTTACTGGCCTTTAGACAGTGGCCTAACATATCATGTCAAGTCTTTATTACTGTCACAGACCAGCATAATGGCCTAACATATTTAACAAGCCATTGCTCCTATTAATAGGCCAGGGTTCCTTTTGCAATGTCAACTGTAATAGTAATCCTTGTTTCAAATCACAGAGTCTCAAATATCAGCTGCCACTACACAGACTGCTCCCTTTCAGTTTATATCAGAGAACCCAATGGAGTCTTTTGAAGAACCTGGTCCTATTGGTAAGGAGAACTTATTAGAAGTTCCTACTTTAAGTGATTGTTTCTCAGAAGAAGAAGATGTTAAAGCTACACATCAGCATCGTTTCTCCCCTGGTCCCCGAAGGCGGAATTCAGAATCTTCTGAAGAAATAGAAGCTGAAGTCCCCTCAACTATTGCAAGAAAAGTTTCATTTGCTGATGCGTTTGGTTTTGATCTTGTATCTGTTAAGGAGTTTGATAGCTGGGAAGTTCCAACTACAGTGCCTAATGATGATTTAGAAGATGAAGTTTTGCCTGTGGAGGAATTCTATTTAACTCCACTGTTTCTAATTCCCACCACACAAGAAGAACTTTTGCAAAATGTGCGTGCACATAAAGTATGTCTAGAGTTTGTAGAGTTTCTTCCAGGGATAACATGCATGAAGGGCATAATTCGTGTTCTGAATGTATCCTTTGAGAAGTTGGTCTATGTTCGAATGTCTTTGGACAACTGGCTAACCTATTATGACATCTTAGCAGATTATGTGCCAAATTCTTCTGATGGTGAGACTGACCAGTTCTTATTCAAGATTTCATTGGTTCCTCCTTATCAGAAAGAAGGTGCTAAGGTTGAATTTTGCATACGATATGAGACATCTGTGGGAATATTTTGGTCAAACAACAACCATAAAAATTATATTTTGATTTGCCATGAAAAAGAAACAGCATCATCATTGGAGGATAATAACCTTCAGGAAGAAGTTACAAATAAACATATCAAAGGCTGCTTAAAGACAACACTAAACAGGTAAGGATGCTTGTTTTTTTATTGTAAAAACTCTTTGATTTATAGTTTCCAAAGGTATATTGTTTGTACACTGACTAAAATGTGATCCATATATACATACATGCATGCAAAGAATCAGTTGAGTATAGAATATTACAATGCTGATTATCAAAATGGTGTGAAAATTCATATTAGTAAGGGTAAACAGATAAAGCAGTTCATTAATAGCTCTATGAAATCTAAGAACAGAAAAGCTATGGGAACATTTGTAGAAATTTTGTTAATGTGAATTTACCCATTCACAGCTTCTGGCTCCTTGCCCCGACTGTGTGACCTGCAAACCATATGTCTGCAGTTTGTTTACAGTTAAGTGTGAAATCCAAACTCAGGAGAAGGAATATTTCTGGCCAGATCCTACTAAGGAATCTAGCCATACCACTGAGGGAGAGGAGCCAGTGGCCACAAGCAGGTGCATTTGTATTAATTAGCTCTTTTAGTTAACCAGATGTGTAAACCCAGTATATGTGCATTGATCTTCCGTGGTCTGCATCCTGACTGCCTGAATTAAGCAGATGGTATAAAGGAGATTATAAAGATGGCCAAGTGAGTGCAATTACAGTTTTCTCATGACTGAAAACCTGAATTGTACAAGGTTCCTGATCAAGAAGAGAACTGTGATAGTTACAGCCAAACACAGTTCTTAAATTGATTAAATTGATCTTTCCTTTCAGTTTAGGGAGGTTGATGGGTGAATGGCTAGTTTAGCATGTGTGGCCTAGCAACTTTTCTTCATTTATATTTTTCTGACACCAGAAGAAGAAAGTCCCTGTTTAGACTCTACTTCCATTCCAAAGCAATATCATTCATTGAAAAAATTGAGTTGCAAACTTACATTGTTTCTATATAGCCCCCAAATTTAAGTCAACTTTCATATAGATTAAAAATGTTTGAAATGTTTTAAAAGATCCAGATTGCTTTAACATTTCTCTACTATCCGGTCCTCATTAATTGGTTAGTCTAGTCCAGACTGGATAATTCTCTCTTCTCCCTATCTGATCATTGTGGTAAGGAAGTTCTATGTCACATAGAGCTTCCTGGATATATTTCTTCAAATTTATTTCATGGCTAGTACACTGATAACTTCCAGGAGAGATTACATTCTTCAAGGTCCAAATTTGTCAGGATATCCCACAATTGCTAATTTGTTCATTGGATAAAGAATAATGTTGTATTTATGATTTTAATGTTTGTTGTCTGACACATTTACAGAAATAGGAAACAAACCAATTGTTCTTAATTGCCAAACATTCATGATACAAATAACTTGATACAGGTTTTCATTTTTTTTGAGAAATGAAAGTACGAACTTTTTAAAATCAGCATCTAGATCATATTCAAAAAATGGTGAATCCCTAATAACATCAGGTCGTGTTGGAGGGCTTTCTCTTGACATTTGTACTTCAGTGTCTACCGTTGCAGGGCCTGACTAATAAAGACCTCATAAGAAATTGATTTCTTTCAGATTCAGTGACTACAGAGCCCTATCAGAACAGAAACAGGTTCTGTTAATAGGGGACAGTATGTGCCCAAGTGGCATAGGGGTGTGTGTGTGTGTGTGTGTGTGTGTGTAGGCTCAGTAAGATGACAACATCAGCATCCATGATAGCATACAGCTTTGAACTTGTCATTAGAAAGATTCACAAATAACATGGTGATGAAAAAAGGTCCAAGGGGGTTTAATCATGAGGGATATATACATACACATACTGTATACACACACACACACACACACACAGTACATACGCATACATACACATACATGCATACATTCACACAGACATATACACACAAACATACACATAAACATATATACACACAGATATACATATACACATAAACATATACATATAAACATACACAAACATATACACACATACATGTATAAACACGTGCATATACACATGCACGTATAAACATACACACACACATAAACTAAACCTAAACTAAACTAAACTAAACTAAACTAAGCAACTCTGCAAATGGCACTGGCTACCTTTCTGACCCAGCAAGTTTGGGCAATGGTTGAGGAACTTAGCACCACAACTCAGCCTCCCCATTTTCTAGTGTTGTGGTAACATAACTCGAAGGGATGAAGCCCATTTTCAAATTGATTTTTTTCCCCCTTTTGCGAAGCTTAAGAGGAGGAATGGAACCACAAAGCCAACCTTTCTACCTCTACCTTTAAAAAATGTTAACAAAGACCTGAAATTGAGCTCCCAAACTAGAAAGAAGAAAGCCAAATTTTGGTGAAGCAATTGTGGGCTATATGGGGAAGGTTGGTAGTTTTAAGGTGGAACTGAGAACAGTTTACCTCCCAAAAATATCTCATTCCCACCCTTAAAAAAAAAAAAGCTGAAACTGCATACTTCTGATTTTCAGCGGCACTATTTCAAGATGCTGGGGGCTGAAAATAGGATATGGAGGAAGGCATGCAATACACAGGACACAGATTGCCTATTTTTGTGATAGTGACATTAGGCAGATATTTCAACCACAGTAAGGTGCAGAAATTGACATGATACTAAGGAAATCCTGAAACTTGCATCTCATCTGAAGGACTGTTTTAAGGGTGAAGGATGGTCCAGCAGCCTTTCCCTCTCCATCCATATCTGCCTACTTCACATATAAAGCAATTGAGTTAAATACAGCCTATTAATAAAAGGAAATTGAATAGTGTTCTATGCTGCCCATTATACATATACAACCAGCTTCTGATAATGAACTTAGTATATTTATTATAATTGTAAATCTTGTATCAAAGTAACACAAAACATGCTGCAAACCCAAAGCTTTCTGCATAGAAAATGGGCACAAGAGCTTGCTTAGCAAAAAGGTCTGGACAGAGAAATCTCAGGTTCAGGAGTATCCAAGAATAGAATTCTTCCAGTTCATGGTTCCAGGTGATCCAACAAGAGCATACAAAAAGAGCCAGTCACAAGAGCTGCAGCATCTCATTTATATTCAAATTCTTCATTACAGGTCAGCAACCCAGATAAAATAAAACTTCCTTATCTGCTAGTAAAAATTGCACATAAAATTCTTTACTCTGTCCCAGAAATAGAGTTAGAAGCATTAAGAGCTCGTGGCATATGTCTTGACAGCAATTATAATATAACAGAATATGAGTTTGTGTTTCAATATTGCCATATTAACAAGGGCATATGCATATGGAAATTTAGGAAATTTTCCCTCTGGCTCAGCTGATGGTATAATATTGAATTGTAGTTATGTAAATTTTCACCAAAATTTATTGTTTGCAAGTTGGTCTAGGTACAATGCTGTTTTGAAGTGTGCATTTCTATGGTCCATTTGTAGCCTAGGTGAGAGTTTACTATATTCTTAATGTAATTCTATATTAAGGATTGCTTAGGCACCACCATTATCTGATTTTGTCCCATGGGCTTGAAAAAAAAAATACATATTTTTTCTCAATTTGGAGTTTCCAAGAAGAATGATATTTATCAATTAATGTTAACTGTGTCAGGCCTTGAGGTTGGAAATGAACTTTAGCCAATATTTCAACACACCTAGCCATGCCCTTATTTCAACTTTTATAAATCCTGCCTCCAGCTGGAGAGCAGGCCATCTCTTTTATATAGCCCTGACTAACAGCTTGACTAAATGGATGAGTTGCAGTTTTTTCTTTCAGGTAGGTGGCTTAATTTCCTCTGCTCTTCTTTTCGTAATTTGTGATGCAATGCTGGGCTCAGAAACTTGCTTAGCCTGGGCTCTGACTCAGGCAGCTCCTGTATCTCCTCAGGTGCCCTCTCTTCAGCTAATTCCTGGGGGTGCCTGGAAATGCTCAGCTTGGTCAAGCTCTTTAGCTTCTGAATCTGAAGAGCCAGACTGATCCCTAACACACAGGACAGGAGAGCTGAACTGCTTCCTGGTGTACCTTGCCTCCCTGCATTCAGGCTGTTGCTTGAGTACTTTTTTCCGCTTCTAATATATTTCTGATATCTACATTGGGAGGAAAGAAAAGTATTTGGAGTAATTCTTCCCAAAGTTCACAGATTCTGATCTGAAATACTAAAGCACCCCAAACTACTAACTATACATGCACCAGGTGCATACCAACAATCAGTCAATGGGATTTGACACTAACTAGAGTTTCTTTCATTTGAACAGTCCATGTATTAGCTGAGATGCCTTCTTTTCTCCAAAAATTAAATGGATTCGCCTAGATACAGGAGATATCCTTTCTTAACCTGCAGATGCTAGCTGCAGATGCTATGCAAGTCATTTTCCAGATGATGTTGTGCAAATCCTTTTCTCTCTTAACTAAATATTTCTTACAGAGCTGCTGTAAGACATAAATAGAATAATACTGTACTCCAATGTGTTCTATAAGATTGCTATCTACAATTGGCCTGAATACTAACACCAGAAAATACTATTTTCTGCAGTATTTATTTCCTGTTATTATTACAGTTTAATATGGTTGGGAGTTCAGAGTGCACCAAACCACATTCTGACCCCTTACCACTGTAAAGCCACTTCTCTCAGTTGCCTGGACATCCATAATTTATATTATTAGCCATGGAGTCTATCTGTGGCTTTATTCAGAACCTTGGGGTTAAATGTATCATCCTAGAGTGGGATTAGGGAATTAGTGGTTGACTTCAACAGGGCTGCTACTCCCCAGTGGATTCAGATCAATCTGAACCATTGCTAAAAAAGTCAGAAGAAGTAAGTACAGTCAAGTGCAGCTTCCAAAGGCCATGGGAAGTTTTATTATTGGAAAGTCTGAAATCATAGTGATGATTCAGAAAGGTGAGATCAATACTACAAGTTTTATTGAGGAACCAAGAAAATATGGCAACAATGTCCTGGTCAAAGAAATGAGAGAATAGGAAGGGGCTTTGCCCAGGAGCCACCTGAAGAGAAACCAGCCTAGGATGTTAAATATCATTTTAGTGAATGGATGTATTTATGTATTCACTTCTATTTTGACTCTGTTA